CAAGCCCACGCCTGTCCTTCCCATGACTGCACAAATCTCTGCTTTGAGTAAGAGCATCTGAATGCAGAATAGAAAATGCAGCGTGTTAGAACAGGTTATCACTGGAGAGAAACAGACCTCAGGTTGACAAATATCAGGGAAGGGCTTCATAGGTCCAGTTAGGTCACATGGTCATCCCTTGACTAATCAACTGTGCCCAGGGCTAGGGCCAAATAGGCCACATGGATGGATTTGGAAATGGGCAAGGACTTTAGGGTCAAAGGTTTTGCTTTTTTTTTTTTTTTTGAGACAGAGTCTCACTCTGTTGCCCAGGCTAGAGTGAGTGCCGCGGCGTCAGTCTAGCTCACAGCAACCTCAAACTCCTGGGCTCAAGCGATCCTACTGCCTCAGCCTCCCGAGTAGCTGGGACTACAGGCATGCACCACCATGCCCGGCTAATTTTTTCTATATATATATTTTCAGTTGTCCAGATCATTTCTTTCCATTTTTTAGTAGAGACGGGGTCTCGCTCTTGCTCAGGCTGGTTTCAAACTCCTGAGCTCAAACAATCTGCCCGCCTTGGCCTCCCAGAGTGCTAGGATTACAGGTGTGAGCCACCGTGCCCCGCCGTGTAATGTTTTAATGTTTGTCTTTCCTAGCAGATTGTGAGGGCAGGTGGCAGGGATGACATAAAATAGACTTTTTTTTTTTTTTGAGGCAGAGTCTCGCTCCATCACCAAGGCTAGAGTGCTATGCCATCAGCCTAGCTCACAGCAACCTCAAACTCCTGAGCTCAAGCAATCCTCCTGCCTCGGCCTCCCGAGTAGCCAGGACTACAGGCACTCGCCCCCACGCCTGGCTAATTTTTCTATTTTTAGTAGAGACCGGGTCTCACTCTTGCTCAGGCTGGTCTCAAACTCCTGACCTCAGGTGTTCCTCTCGCCTCAGCCTCCCAGAGTGCTAGATTACAGGCATGAGCCACTGTGCCCAGCCAAAATAGACATTTAATAAATATTTGCTGAAGGACATTTCTCTAAACTCTGGTTTCTCCATTTATAAAACAGGGTAACAATATCCCCCGTTTAGTTTAAATAAGATAGTGCCTCACAGCACCCAGCTTAGTCCTGCAACATAGTAGTAGCAAGTACTCATTATGCTGGGGCTAGCCTGAGGGGGAGGATTAGCTCAGGGCTGAGAGTGAGGTTTTGTAAGCTGTGAGGTGATGGGCAGACCCCAGGGTGCAGTTGGTTCAAAGATTGAATATGTGACTCTGCCCTGATTCCAGGGTGGAGAACAGGCCCCTGCCTAGTTGCTCTCCTGGGAATCTGTCACGCACGCCCCACTCTGTGTTTGAATTTAGCTCTGCCACTATGACTTGGGGCACATCACTTTGCCTTTCTGAGCCTCAGTGTTTCATTTGTAAGATGGCCACTTAAAAGAGTCCACCTTTCCAGCCCATGTCTCCAAACTTCAAATTTTATTTCCCCTTAGAAACAAAATTACAAATAGTTCCTGATCCCTCAAACTACAAGGACCCTGAGCACTAACGACATGCTGCATGGGGAGGCCAGAAGCAGCAGTCTTGGTTGTAAAAGGGCAGCCCCACGCCTTGCGGAGGAAGCGGGCACCACCAACTCCACACGCCAGGGGGAACGGAGGGAGAAGGGTGCAGGGAAGGCTGGAGCTGGAGGAGAGGGGGAGAGGTTTGCAGTGGGCACTGCCAAGGGTGGTGCACTTCCTGGGGAACTTGGGCCAGCTTGAGCAGGGGACCTGGGGACACCAATGCTCAGTGAAAGAGCAGTGACGGCCCTAGTGCCCTGCAAGTGGCTGCACCCTTGTGTACAAATTTGTCATTTAGTTGTGAAAGTCCTATGGCCACAGACAGAAAATATGGCAAAAGGAGAAAAGGAAACCTCCCAGAGTCCCACCACCAGGGATTCCATCTCTCCTAGTCTTTTTAATTCCTTCTTCTTCCTTTTTTTTTACATAGTTGCCATCAAGCATTCTCTGCTTGGGAACACATTTCACAAGCAGTTCCTGCCTTTCTACTAGTTGCACAGCACTTTTATCTCTTCTGTTGCTTTTCGTCTGATTATTTGTCCTTCTTCAATATAAGCTGGGCAGGAATTACTTCCATCTGAGAGATAAGGAAACTGAGGCACGAAGGGTTAGAGGTTAGATTTTAGATGCCAAGGGCATCTGGATGGTGATGAAGCAGGTGTCTGGGATGGATTCTAATGAGAAAGATTTTTGGCCTCTCAGGCTCCTAGGCCAACACGCAGAGAGGAAACACAGGGGTGGGGGGGGAGGGGAGGAGAGAAAAGACAGTCTCAAAATTCTCATCTCAAAATATTTAATTTTGTTTGAAAAGGATACATTCCCAGCTTCCCTCCCCACCACATCACTCTGGCCCACCAGCACGACACACTCGCACGCACACACGCACATAAGGCCGATGGGCTGCGGTCTGCTTCCGCCCTCTCCAGCTGGGAAGAAGGGATTTTTCTCTTGTCTTCTTCCCCCAACAAAGGTAAAGGAGAGAGGGGCCCACTGGAATGCCAGCTCCCAGGGGAGGACACAGAGCCCCACACACTCTTATCACATCACATGCACTTAGAAAAATAAAACCAAGTGGTGTTCTGGCATCCCTAACACCGTAAGATAGCAATATCCACCTGGAAGTCATCTTTACCATTTTCTAGAAAAATTTATTGCACTTAATTAGCAGATGTTAAAGGGAGCTCTGGGGTGGAGCTTTGCCATGAAAACCAGAAGCTCCTCGGCCCTTTGTGTTGCAGGGAGCATAGCTCCTAGGGCCCTGGGTGGAGAGCTGCCCAGCACAAAGGGGCTCCCAAGCCTGCCGCCCTGCCTCAGGCCAGAGAACTGTAGGAGCTGCCTGCCCAGGGCCACAGCAGCCCTCTCAGCAGGGTGATGTGTACCCAAAGTTAAGGGTCACTGCTAAGTGCCTGCGCCAACCTAAGGAGCCAGACAGGCAAACCCCTTCCTTCGGCCATGGGTAAATTACCCAGGTCCTTCACAGAGTTGCTGTTGACCTTGAAAGCTCTCTCCTTGTCTAAATGAATATATATCTCTATATACATTTATAATATGTATATTCTTGCAACGTTCCAGCTCATTCATGATTTGTCTGTTCTGAGGTTGTAGTGAGGCTGCCACGAAGAAGCTGAAGACAGGACACTTAGGAAGTGGATGGCACTTCCAAGTCCATCCTGAACCCATGGAAAGCCAAGGTTAAGTCAGCTTCTCTAGCCTCCAGTGCTTTTTAGATGTCAAAGATCTGAGTACAGGAGCCTCAGTCTACGGCTGTCAGCCCCAAGATGGAGAGGGCCCAGGAGGGAGTCAGGAGACTCCCGTTTCCCTGACGGAAACTGAGCAGGCACTGACCCTTTCCTCCTTGAAGGACTCAATTCTTAGGCCAGGGGAGGAGACGACCTTATTTGAACGCTTATCTTCCCTAAAATGTCCTCTATGGACATACTCCGTCCTGTCCCTGCCAGGCTCCTGACTCAAAGGGACTCTTCTGAAAGAGTCCAGTAGCCACACTCTTTCCAAGTAAGCACTTTGGGAAGGAACCCGCCACCCACACCCTGGGGTGGGGGAGAAGGGGAGGGCACCGAACAGGCAGAAGGTGGGACAGAAAGGAGAGACATCAAGCCACCATCCTACCCACTGGGGTTGGAATATGGACACTATCCAGAGATGAAGTGCCCATCTTTTAAAAAAATAAAAGTGAGAAAACACAAACCATATACTTCTGGCCAAAGAAAATGAAGAGCTTTTAAGCTCAAGGCTCTTCTACCAATAACAAAATAAGAACTGCCCTCTTGGTGAATAGCCAGACCAGAGAGAGAGCGCCCAGGAGGGCGAGCTGCCCAGGGCAGGACACTGACATGCTGGATGCACCTGCCCTGTGTGGTTATAATAGAGTGAAAAGTGTGTACATGGTTTTTATAGAACCGCAAAGTAAAAGTCAGAGCCTGGAGAGAGGGGTGACCTCCCTTGGCCTCAGGGACCCTTGTGAAGTCCCCTGGAGAGGTGGGTGTGCACGTCCCTGGAGGGCCGTGGCATTCCCCTGGGGTGCAGCCCACAGCCTGGTCTTAACATCTGTTATGAAAAGTCTTTAGAGGTCTGGTCTGGGTCTCTGAGCCACCACTTTAAATAAAGCCAGTGTTACGTATGACAAAGTACGCCCGTCATCTCTGTCTCCTCTTCACCATAGGCTGCCCGCCCTGAGCAAATAAACACACCCATCTCAAGGGTGCCCAACTAACCCAAATGAGCAGAGGCTTCCACGAATTTCCTTGGTGCATCTTCTGGGCAGAGCAAAAGGACGAGTCCAGCCAGACACAAGAGAAAGGAGCAGCTGTGAGGCAGAGGAAGCTGCAGCTGTGAGAATCCCTCCATGCCATGGCCAGGCTTGTGTGGGTGGCCCCCGTCTGCTGGGACCAACATTGAGGGGACTCTAGGCCTCTGTAAATGTCCCAACAGCCTGCTATTCCCAAGGGGTGTACTGTGACCTCAGCAACCCAACTAGGTGCCCTGCTCTGCCGACAGTCTCTGGGCAGCTCACACAGGAGGGATCCTGAAGCAAGAACTAGGAAGCCCTCTCTGCTCCAGGGAGAGGGGACTCTGGCATGGGCCACACTGGTGAGCAGAGCAAGAAAAAACAGGAGTTTCTCAAGAAACGTGCCCCAGTTCTCATGCCCACAGTGTAAGGGGGCTGCGGAGGCCAGTTTTCTGAACACCATGAGGAAGCTGCATCCTGGGTCCAGGACGTTAAAGCTTCCTAGATAAGAGGGGTTTTCCTTGTAAATCTATGATCTAAGATTGGTTATTGGGTGAAAAGAAACAGCAGGCCCAGAGGCCCAGTCTAGTGGGACAAACAAGAGATTCAGGTGGCCTCCATGGGTGGTCTGGAGAGGAGGTGAAAAGTCCTACTTCTGTGCTGACACCCAGGGCTCAGAGACCAGCCGCCCTGGGAGTCTGTCCTCCATGGGCATGAAACAGAGGGCCCATCACCAGGGCCTCCTCCCTGGCTTCCAGTCCTCAGAGCCACAGGGGAATAGTGGTTCAGCGGCTAAGAACGGTTGGGTGAACTCCTGCTGCAGGCTCCAGACTCAAACCCCAGCCCAGGCTGTGCAAAGACCCTGCTCCTGTGGCCTGCCACCCATGCAGACACTAAAGGAGAAGCTGGTTTGTTCTTCTAACTCCAAGGAAGATGGGAACTGATGTTTCTCTCAAAGACTTTCTGGGGAGGATGAGGTGCGTGACAGACACACCCCAAGTGGAAATGCGTCCTGCTACCTGAGAAGACATAAGGGTGACAACAATTACGACTCCTTCTGCAGAGACAGCCCTTGGCAGCCCAGGCTGGAGACAGGGAGAGTCAAGAGAAGCCTGAGTGCCCTGTGAAAGGAGGATTTGTACTCCAGAGGTCCCCTTCTGATTCAACCGGGACATCCAACAATAGAAACTAAGGCCGATTCACCATCTATGTAGATTCTCTCACGCTCCCCACCAGTGAGGAGGCTGGCCCCCCCCCGGAAGTCGCCACGTGCGCCGCCCGTGTTATAATGAAGCTGAGACACGAACGCTCCTGCAACAGGTGCGCTGCCACGCACCCATGACGAGTCATAAGTCTCCACGTGTGTGAGGGGTTTCAGGGAGCCCCCAGGCAGAGGTCTGAGGTGCAAGCAGTGCCCCGCCCGGGCGGTGGGCACAGGTTACAAGGGCCCGTACTTGGTCTCGTACTTGGACACAATGGTCTTGCACTTGCCCACCTCCTTGCGTAGCTCGGCCACCTCCGTCCGCAGGGCTGTGTTCTCCTTCTCCAGGAAGGCCGCCCGGATGGTGATCTGATTTTCTTTCAGGCGCCGGGCGTCCCGCGACCGTTTAGCCGCCACATTGTTCTTCTTGCGTCTTGTCCAGTACTTTTCATCCTGTGGGGAAGTGCCCGCGGTGGGTTGCGCGTCTTTCCCCATGAGAGAACCCAGTCTTTCCCCTCCCGCCACCCGGATTTCCCTCATAACTCATCTGGGCTGGCCAGAACCAAAGCTGCGACCTGGGGGAAGGAGCAGCACATGCCGAGGCACACAGAGGGGAACTGCCCCCTGGGGTGGGTGGGGATGAGAAACAAAGTCCTTTAGTAGTTACAAGGTGGAGGGAAGGAGAACCATCTGCTGCATCCGACCGTGTGCTACCACCTACAGCTGTGCCTCACTTACGTGTTCTCGTTGTGGTTAAGGGCCTATAACGTGGGTCTAGTCCCCTGAGTTCAAATCTTGGCTCTGCAAGATTACTAGCAGTGCAACCATGCCAGACCTTAGCTCTCGATGTTTCAGGTCCCTTACCTTTACAATGAGAACTAATAGCTGTAACTACTTCATAGAGTTGTTTGAAGATTAAATGTGTTAGTATATAAAAAGTGCTTATAACCATGCCTGGCCTACAGTAAGTACCATATAAATGTTTACCATTATCATCATCATTATTATTAAAGTCTCAGAAACCTCCTTGAGAGGCAGGTTCGGTTCCCATTTTACTAATGAGGAACCTGAGGTACAGCTAGGTCACACGTGGCAAAGTGGGGTTTGAACCCAGGTCTGCTTGACTCCAAAGCTTTGGATGAAAAGTCCTTCCTGTAAGTTTTTCATAGGATAGGATGGAAAAATAGCAGCATTCCCTCTTCCCACAAGTTCTTACAGAGCCATGAGCTTGAGAGCTGCTTGCTCATCTCTGGGGATGGCAACACACAAGCAATCTTTTGTCCTTCAAAGCGAGGACTTGTTCAACCACGGTTCCTGTGGTCTAGTGAGCTCTTGCCCAACGGCTGGGCTAAAGCCAGGGAAGCAGGAATATCAACACAGCTGATGGCCTGGGTCAGGAGAGAGAAAACTACAGGGAGTCACACTGGGGCCAAATGCCACCTGACTCCCTTTATTTCTACCAAATTGCTGCAGGATGTGGCTTTATGCACAGAACTCATGTCTTTCTATACAAAGTCCACAAAGAGGCAGGGTTCTCCAGATAAGGTTAAATGTGAGGAAGCCTAGCCCCTCAGCTCCTGAACCAATGTTGCAGCTTTACTTATAAAGAATACCAGGTTACCTTCTGCTCATCAGGGACAAAGACCTTCTTGGCCTTTTTGATCATGGGCTGGGGCTTCAGGTCCTCCTCCGCAAACTTGTGCTTCCGAGGATTGAAGAGCTCCCCACCTGGCACACTGGAGAGAACCAGGTCGGCAGGGTCAGGATTGAAGTTCACATCCACCTCCACACAGTTGGGGTCAATGGGACTGGGAGTCTCCCTCTCCTTTTCCAGGGAAGATTCTGAAAGACACAGAGGCAGGTGGTCTTGAAGCAGCCCACTGCACAAAGAAGACTCACATCACAAACCCAGATACCTGCTTGAATCTCAAGGTTGCAAAAACCACTGCCACTGAGGGGGAAGAAAAGCACAACAGCACCAGCTCCTAGGCCAGAATAGCACACATGGTTCAACTCAACAATGCAAACATGGAAAGAATTCTTCCCTTTAGGAAGAGAATGCTCAAAAGAAACAGAGGCCCTTGAAAGACAGGATTTTCTAATTGTTTTCCGCCCCCCAGAAATGTTAAGCAAAACATTAAATCATTATACCCCTCTTAACTTCCTGTGATTTCAAGTTCTTAAGTAATGAGAAACAGCTGAATCTCTCTGTGAACTCCAATGGGTTAGGGACAAACTGAATAATGGAAATGGGTTCCACTTTTGAGTCCCTGAGATGTGTCAGTCACTGTGCTCATTTAGTCTCTTTTTTTTCTTTTTGGTAGAGACAGGGTCTCACTCTTGCTCAAGCTGGTCTCAAACTCTTGAGCTCAAACAATCCTCCCACCTCAGCCTTCCAGAGTGCTACGGTTATAGGCGTGTGAGCCACCGCATCCAGCCATCATTTAGTCTTATGACAACTCTGAAAGGAAGATGGGTGTTACTCTACAGATGAAGAAATTAAGCCTCAGAGAAATGAAACGGTTTTCCCAGGGTTATACAGATGATAAGTGACTGAATGAAAGTTTGAACCTTGGTCTGGCTGACTCTGATTCCTTGTTCTTCCCTGCCCCATCTGGCTGCCGCTTTATAGCAGACATTGGATTAAAGCCACGTTCCGAAATCAAAGGTTGTGTGTTATCAGAGATAAGTTATAAAAAGAAAAAAACTATACCTTTGGCCAACTCATTCAATGCTACTGACAGGAGTATATAAAATAATTATTCACTCAACAGATATTTATTGAACACCTGCTATATGTCACATACTGTCCTGGTAAAGACAAAACAGTGTAACAAGTAAAAATCTCTGCCTTCATGGAATGTTGATCTAGTGGGAAAACTGAAATTATACAAGATAAATATAAAATATCTGTAAGAATGTTAGATGCTATGTGGATATTTGGGAGAAAATTGCAGCGTGAATATCAAGTGCAAAGGCCCTGGGGTACCAAGTGCAATACCAAGTGCAAAGGCCCTGGGGTACCAACTGCAATATCAAGTGCAAAGGCCCCCAGGTGCTTGGCTGGTATGTTCAAGGAACAGCAAGAAGGCCAATGTGGCTAGAGTGAATGAATGAGAAGGGAGAATAATAGGATGAGTCTGGAACAGAAAATGTTGGGCCTTTAATCCCAATAAAGCAGTGGTTTTCTGCCTTGCAGAGGATACCTGGCCACGTCAGGACTGGAGGGAGTGCTACTGGCATCTAGTGGGTAGAAGCTAGGGGTGCTGCCAAACATCTTATAGTGCACAGGTCAGTCTTTCCTCTAACCCCAACCAAAAATTATCTGGTCTAAATGTCAATGGTGCTGATTTTGACTCATACCCTGAGATGGGAAGCCATTGGAGGGTTCTGAGCAGAGGCATGGCACAATCAGACTTAGGTTTTAACAGGATCACACACATAAACTATTAGAGGGGATTAATTACAAAGAGGTCTGAGTATCAAAGGAGTAAATGACCAGGGACTGATGTAACCAGGGACTGAATACAGAGGCCTGACAAACCCCATACCTGCAAGACAAACAGCCAAGGTATCTACCACATGTAAATGCTGTTCAAAGTGATTCCATGTCTGGGTGCCCTTCAGCAGCAACCAAATGCCATGATGTGGTTAAGTTTCAGGGACAGGACAAGAGAAAGCCCCAGGAAACAAAACGGGACAATTTGCAAAGAATGCATAAAAAAGAGGCTTGGGGGGCAAGGTTTTTGAGGAATCCCCCCTTCCCAGTGGATAGCTCTGTCAACAAATTCTAGCAAATGACTATAAGACCTTAAAATTACTCTGCTGGAAGAAGAGGGAAAGGTAATAGGTCTCTTAGTAATTTGCCTGAAACATTATTTTCTGAGGTCCACCATTACAAAAGATGTCAAAATTAAAATTAAAAGCTGACAACTAGAACTCCAATACCCTGCTGATGGGGGTATAAATGGATATGAACACTACGTACACTACTTGGCAGTATCTACAAAAGCTGAATATATGCATGTCCGAGGACCCAGCCATTCTATTCCTAAGCAAATGCCCAAGAGAAATGCATACATATATTTACCAAAAGATATGCACGTGAGTGTTCATGGCAGCACTATTCATAACCCAAACTAGAAGCACCCCAATCGGCCTTCGAATGTGGAGTGGATAACCTGTGGCATGCTCATACAATGGAATACTACTCAGCAATGAAAATTAACGAAGTGTTGCTACATGCAACAACATAGGTGATTTTCACAAACATAAAGCTGAGTGAAAGCCAGATACAAAAGAATACATATTACTTGTATCTTTTCTACAGAAGGAATTAAAAAATCAAAAGAAGGAATTCTACTTTCATTCCTACCATATGTATAAGTCTTCAATATAAATCTTACTTCATTTTTATTGTGATTTTTTCTGTCAAAAGAGGATTCCAAAAATACATTCTGCAAAACTTTGTTAGTGTAAAGAGATTCTGATGCCCACATAATTTATACGTATACTATAAAGCTAGCTATAGAAAGCTATAAATATAAGAGTATAAACGTAATTAACTTGTGACAGTTAAAAACAAAAAAGAGGACATAGTACACAATTCCATTTATAGAAAGTCCAACTACAGGCAAAACCAATCTTTGGTGATAGAAATAATAATAATGCTTACCTTCAGGGAATAATGACTGAGCGGAGTCACAAGGTACTTCAGAGACACCAATAGTGTTTTATATCCTGATTCAGGTGATAATTATGTGGGTGGGTTCACTTTGTAAAGATTCATTGAGCTGCGTATTTATGATATGTGCACTTGTGTATGACATACTTCATTAAAAAGGTTTACTTAAAAATAGAATCAAAGGCAGATGCCATCTAAGTAGTCTAAGGCAGCAGTCCCCATTCTTTTTGCCACCAGGGACTGTTTTCATGGAAGACAATTTTTCCATGGACCAGGGGTGAAGGGATGGTTTTGGGATGATTCAAGCATGTTAAATTTGTTGTGCACTTTATTTATATTATTATTACATTGTAATATATAATGAAACAATTATACAACTCACCATAAGTTAGGGACCCCTGGTCTAAGGTACAAGATGAAAGCTCATTTTCAGCTCCCTCCCCTACCCACACATGGAACCAGCCTTCTAGGAAAACCATCACAAAAATGACCTGCCTTCAAATGAGAATTCTGCCAGAATCAGCAAAAGCCTCTAAAACTAACTGGTTTACAGGAAAAAAATAAGGAGCAAAGGAACATGTTAAATGGCACCACAAGAATACAGCCAGCAAAACCCAGCACATGTGAAATTCTACAGGATAAATGATTCAGTGTCATGAACAAATAAATTGGAAGGAAAAATAAGGGGGAAGGAAGCCTATAGTTAGAAATTTAAGAGACTTATCAACTAAATGCAATGTATAGGCCTTATTTAGATGTTGATTCAAACAACCTGTAAAACAATAACATTTATGAGATAACTTTGGAAATTTGAATGCTGATGAATTTGATGTTAATTTTGGATGTAAAACTGGTATTTTGGTTATGTCTTTTTAAAAATAACTCTTATATTCTATTATTTTATGTCTTTTTAGAGGTGGGGTCTTGCTCTGTTGCCCAGGCTGGAGTGCAGTGGCATGACCACAGCTCACTGCAGCCTCCAACTCTTGGGCTTGGCAGTTCTCCTGCATCAGTCTTCCAAGTAGCTGGGACTACAGGTACAAGCCACCATGCCCAGCTAATTTTTTTCTTTTTAAGAGACGGGGTCTTGCTATGTTGCCCAAGCTGGTCTCCAACTCCTACCTTCAAGTGATCCTCCAGCTTCGGCCTCCCAAAGTGTTGGGATTACAGGTGTGAGCCACCATGCCCAGCCAGAACCCTTATATTTTAGATACATATTGAAATATTTATGGCTAAAATGGTACAATGTCTAGGATTTGATTGGAAATAATTGCTTATGAGTTAAGAATTGTTGAAGCTGGGTGATGGTTACGTGGAGGTTCGTTACAGTAGTTTCTTCCTTCTGTATTTTGTTTGAAAATTTTTCCATAATAAAAAATTTAAAAAAAAAGAGACCATGTGAATTTCCTAGATGTGGATTCCCTGGGTGACATACCAGCTCCCAGGAGACATCAGCCTGTATGCCTCTAATTGAACCTGCAGAAAGCTTCGCAGAGCCCCCTGAAACAGGAGCTATGTCTCCCCTGGTAGGTTCATGTTCAAGGGGCATGAAAACAAACAAACCAATCCCCAGAGGTACAAAGAGTAAGAGGATGAAGGACAGACCCTGACCAAGGTCCTACCTAGGCAGTGAGAGTGCCTTCTTCATGCCAGTGCCTAAGCAGTACCTAGCTATGGAGTCAGATATCCTTGGTTCAACTGCTGCCTCCATTAACTACCAGCTGTGTGACTGTGGGCAAGTTACTTCTCTGTGCCTCAGTTTCCTCACCTGTAAAACAGGGATAATAGTACTAATCTCATAACATTCTTGTGAGGATTACATGTTCATGCCTAGCACAGAGTAAGTACTAACCAAATGTCCGGAGATGTTAACATTATTATTGCCTGAGCTTCTGGATAATCTGTGGCCGAGCAAGTGTGGGGGTAAAAGAGCATCGAGGAAATGGAGAGTGGGATTTCTATCCTGCAAGGCTTCAGACTGCAGGCGCTCAGTCCACGGCCGTGACCATTTGCAGCATACCAACCATCAGAAAGCCTCCGACTGCTGCTGATGTCACTACTATTTTTATCTGCAGCCTCGGGGACTGTGCTGAACGGTGGGGAGCACAGGGTTTCTCCACACAGCAGCCCCACCAGGACCTCCCCTCAGAGATGGGGCTCATTGGGTTTGGTGTCCACACAAACACGTTCAGTGGGAAGTGGACTTCTTTGGGTCAGGCAGGTGGCCCTGCCCAAAGGCCTGTCACTAACCTGTGCTGGACACGGTTTCAGAGGGCTGAAAGATGGCAGTGGAGGAGGATGGTGGGGACGCTGTGGAAGAGCTGGCAGACTCCTTTCCTTCTAGCTCAGCCACAGGAAGCAGCAGGTTCTGGGCCAGGTGGGTGGGGCTGGCAGGGATGCCGTTCTCTAGCAGGAACTCGTCCAGGTCCATGTACTCCAGGTGGAAAGACTCGCCGTCGTATGGGATGGTCTTGTCCCAGATGGGTGGCATGAGGGAGGCTGAGACGGCCATGGTGCTGGCAGCTGCTGCCTCATCCTCCTCCAGCTTTTCCTTCCCCTTTTCCTTATCTGCAGACACAAAATCTGTGATGAGACACCACGCAAGAGGGTAACTCAATCCCAGGAGGTAGGCAGTGAGCCTCACAGGCCTGACCCATCTTTCTCAGAGCCCTGATTCCATCCCATACATTTCAAGAGCCCACTCTATTCTGGTGCTTGAACCAGTCTCCTTTAGAGATGGCATTGAGCCCCCATCCATGCCTGGCTTTCCCGTAACGCTTACCACATGCTCTGAGGCCTGACATGGTCATAGGGGTAATTCAGAATAGGCTGTAGGACTAGCATCAGCAGGATAGAAGCTATAAAGAAGGAAATGGAGTTTTCTGACCTTTCGTGATATCTGAGCATGGAAAGGGTTGACATTTTCAGGTCAAGAACTTTTGTATTCTCCTGTCCTGTTCCCTCTGGTGATGCTTCTCCACATCAGCCTAGCCCAGGGATGAATCCCAGCTCTGTCACCCACTTGCTGTGTGATGTGTGACCTTAGGCATGTTATTTAACCTCTCTGAGCCTCAGTGTCCTCCACTACACATAAGGATAAAGCTGTCTCTTTGGTGAAGATTAGAGCTAACATTTGAAAGCATCTATATTATATAGATCCTAGCACACAGCAGGCATTCATTATTACTGTGTGCTCACAGAGGACAGGGACTGTGTCTGAATCATTTCTAGATCTTAGGGGCCCACAAAGGAATAGGCAGACAATGGGTTATGAAAAAATGTGTATATTGAATGTAGAATATTGGATTTGCAAACAGATTCACTTTAGGTTAATCAGACAGAGAGGGCCTGGAGCTGTCTTTTCAGGACCTTTTTCAGAGCAACCATTTCAAGAGACCTTTATCCCTATATAAGACTGAAGGTAGGTTTTCTGGGAGAAAGGAGAGGGTGGAGTTGAAGAAGAAAGACTGCTCCTATTCAAAGCAAAACAAATCAATTAATGGGGACTGGATCCTGCCTAATTGTCTCAGTCAAAAAGTTATGCACGTGGATATCCAAGAGAGGGCAATTAAGAAGAAAGAGAAGAGAGAAATGTGACAAGGTTGGAAGGAAATCAAAGTGAGAGGGAGGCTAATCAGGGAAGTGGGAGATAAAATCACGACAAGTTCACAATGGGTTTTCAAAATTGAGGTAGACAACTTTGAACTCTGGATTTAGAAGTGAAAAGGAGAAATCAAATATGATTATGTTGGAAATAAACCAGTCACACATGGACTCCTAGACCACAGATGAAAAGAAGCTTATTGGTCCAATTAAAAATGAACATAACCAGTGAATTAAGAGGGTGGATATTTTGACAAACAGAACTTGTCATGGCCTCTAATACAAATTAATAACTTGAGTTTCTGCAACCGCCTTCTGTACCAGCCTTTGATTTAAAACAAATTGGGAAGTAAAAAGCCAAGCCCTGGTGGGCTGGGTGGGCAAAATGGCCTTCCTGTTCTCCTCCCAAGATCTGGACTCCACATTCTGTTCCAAAATGACTGTGGCCCATGTCGGGTGGGGTCATTTGGGATCAAAGGAGGCAAGAGAAGGGAGGAGATAGAGAGAGAAAAGCAGCCATACTGAAGGACAAGCAACAATAAGTTCCAGGTTTTGCCTGGCCTAAGTAAGGATATTTTAAATGAATGTTTTTGTAAGGCGAAGTTTTAAAACGTAAGACATAAAGGACTAGTCCATCACTTAGATCTCAGGAATTGACACCAGTGGTTGCTAAAGTGATACAGTAGAAAAAGCACCAAACTTGAGAAGCACTGTCAGCTCTCAGAGCCTCAACTTTCCTCATCTTGGAAATGTGGATAATACCCTACAGGGCTGTTGTGGAAGTCTAAATGAAATAGGATTATGTCAAAGTGCTTTGTGAGCACTCTGCAAATGTAACCTAGAATTACTGTTGTGGACGGTTACTATCTGGTAATCTTAAACAAGAATCTGCCAGATGTGTACACCTGTCCCTGCAGCTTGTTTCAGCGTCAGATTTGGAACAAAGCACTGCCTTAAAAACAAACAGAAGGATTTGTGCACATGCGGTCCCAAAGCAGGAGGAGAGAGCCTGGCCTCACCTGATGTGCTGAAGCTATTTATAAACCCAAAAGTGACAGCCATAGGGATGGGAGCCTCAGAACACACCCAGAAAAGGAAGAGAAATGGCATTTTTAAAAGGAAAATTAATTCCCCAGGACAGGCAATTAGCAGAAGGCCTATCCCTTCCCAAATCCCTGAATAACGCTGATGGCTCTTGGACATGAAAAGGTCTCAGACTGAAAGTATACCTCACTGCACCTAAAACCCCCGCAATAGGTGGCATGCCTGCTGCTCCCTGAACCTCACCTCCCAGGCTAAAAATCAAGGCCAACCCTGCTTTCCACATATGCCCCAGGGACCTCTGTGTTCTAGGAAATAAGTCGAAGTTCAGTCCTGCCCCTGTGGCCCCAAACCACCAGGGGAAGGGCCTCAGGGACCTCACTCTGACCCTCGCCCAGTCCCTGCCTCACCAAAAGCCCCCCTCAGAAGACACCCGCATCCTCGCCCACTCCCTTCCCCCACCCGCATCTCGGCAGCAGCCCTGAGACACGTTCCCAGAAAGGCTCCAGAGTGGACCTAGCAGCTGGGGATACTCACACCCAGGGAGGAAGCCACGTCCTCCCCCCAGGAGGGGGAAGGCCACATACAACCACAGTCTGCCACCTTGGCCCAGCGCTTCTCAAACTTTGGTGGACTTTGAAATCAAGCGGGTGAGGTGCATTAGGGTGCTCCTTAAAATGCAGACTCCTGTCCCAGGAGCTGCAGATTGGGTGTGGCCCAGGAACCAGCATTTTAAACAAGCATCCCGAGTGATCCGGTGCGGGCGGCCTCAGAGGCGGCGCCCTGGAGCGTCACTGAAGTGGCTGCTCCCGACCCCCACCAGCCTCCTCAGAAACCCCTACACGAACCTCCTCCTCGAGCCCCCACCCACACTCTCCCTCCTGACCCTTCCTCTCTCAGCTTGTTCCTGACCTTCCCTCCCCAGCGCCCCCGCCTCGTCCTTCAGGCTCCTAGTCATCCCCTGGCCCCCATCCCCCTCCGCTGGACCATTTCACCCCGACCTCCAACCTCCTCGGCCCCGCCCTCTCCGGCCCCGCCCCTGCAGAAACCCCGCCCCCAGGAACGCGCGGACCACCCCCCTCACCGAGGCGCGCCTCGCGCGGGGGGTTCTCCATCAGTTTCTTCAGGACCAGTGGGAAGGAGCCCGGCAGGCCCCTTTCCCCAGGTGCGCGCCCCGGCCCCGGGCCTGGCCCAGCCTGCGGCTCCACAGGCGGCTTCTTTCCGCCGCCCGCGTCGGACATCGTGCCCCGCGCCCTGCTCGCGCGCTTCGCCTCCCCCGCCCGCCCCCCGAGATGGGCCAGAGCCGTGCGACCCGCTGCAGCTGCCGACACGGACAGCTACTGCGCAGGCGCTCAGCGGCACTCCCGCCTCCCTCCATCCCTACCCCGCCTGCAGACCGGCTCTGGGACATTAATTATTTATGAGGCCAGGCCTGCTTCCCGGGAGTGCGGCTTCGGATTGGCCCACCTTCCCGGGCCGTGATTGGCTGGGCAGCAGGGGTGAGCGAGACACGTGCGGGGCCAGGTGAGGCGCCCCCGCCGGAGGCCCCGCCCTGCCCGCTCCTGCGTCTCCTGATTGGAGCCTGCTGGAGTCTGTGGCGGAGGCTTCCTTCGGCTGCAGCCCCTTCCTATCTACCAGGTGTGTCCCCTTCGTCACCTTTTCTATAACCCCCGCCTTCTCCCAGACCTCCGTATCCTTTTCCTCCAGTCCCAACCTCGCAACCTTCTGGCTGCGCCACCGGAGGGAGGCGAGGCTGGGTGCGGACAGGCCAGCCAGGGCAGCCTATCCGAGAGCCCCGTCGGGCTGCGCGGACAACCCCCGTGGGTCACGTGGAGCCGCAGCCGAGGCCAGTCGCGTGGGGAGGGGGAAGAGAAGGATGGCGCGAGAACAGCCAATGGAGGGCGAGGGCGGGGTCCGGGGCGGCGCACGAGGCGCCGCACGTGCGGGGTTGTGGTGGGGCGGGGAGAGGAGGGGAAGGGAGGGGCGGGCCTGTTGTTCCGCAGACTCTGCCCAGGGTCGTGAGAAGGGGACGCGAAGCCCAGCCGGCGCTCTTCCTCCCACGCGACCCAGAGGTTGCCCGAGGGCAGAGCGGCGGACGGCGACCTGCCGAGCCTTGGGATGGCCGGAGCAGGCTTGGCCGCCGCCGAAGTCGGGTATCAGGTTGCCCACTGATCCCGGGTTTCTGGCGCGGGCGTGGCGGCCAGATAAACACTAGCGTGGAGGGAGCATTCTTAAGGCCCAGCCCGGAGCCAGGGCCCGGCACACGCTTCCGTCCTCCCACTTAACTAGCTTGTGACCTTGGGAAAGTCCAGTTGCTTCACTTGAGCTTGTTTCCTTGGCCATAAAATTAAGAGGTTGGGCTAGATAATCTCTACAGTCCCAAACAGCTGTGAAATTGTTCCTTTCTAAGACCTGCCCTTCTTTTCCCTAGGGGGAAAAAAATCTCTTTTACGCAAGGTAAAGATCCCACATCTTGTGGTAGAACCACCTCTTCTCTTAAAATATAGATACTCCCTGGGAGCTCCTCAGGAACCCTGTAGAAATGTAAAATGTGGAAGGGTACACAAAGGTAAAGACGTTAACGGGAAGCTGCTCCGAAACAGCCCTCCGACCTTTGTACTCTGTAATACAGGTCATAACTCTGCTTCAAGCCCAAACAGCGCTAGCCTCTCCCAGCATGCTCCCAGAGGGCAGAGACTTTGGCTTGTCTATCCTGTATCCCTCCAATGGCCAGGGCCTTCTAGTAGTGGCGGTTGTGGGGGATGGTAGAATGGCAGTCCTTGGTTCAGGGGGTAGATGCGTGACCCAAACTCACAGCAAGCTAAAAGTTGTCAAGCTGATGCAATCAGAATTTTGCTGGGAGTTGACAAAAAAAAAGAAGTTGGGTAGCTGAGCAGGCCTGGAAAGCAAGAGATCTGAAGGACTTTGGGTAGTGGTAGGGACAGGATGGTGGAGTCTTCCTCCAAAATTCAAGTTCTCACTGCCACGCTAATGACTTTGGTCATTTTCTGAATCTCATGCCTCCAACTAATGGCTTCACCTCTCCAGGCTTCCTTTTCCTTACATGTCAAATGGAAAAAGAGCAGGATCTATTATACCTTATGGGGTTTCCATGAGCCAGTGTGTGTAAATGTACAATTGCAAACCTGCAACAAATGGTAGTTTTCATAGTTTTACTAAAACCGCGATGGGTACAAATCCATTGGTTGGTGTATCCATTATCTCAGAGGCTAGCACAATGCCTGTACTACTCTCACTTTAGTAGAAATACTCAACTGTGTACAGAAAATGTGTTGTATTGTAGAATTGTTGTTAGTGTGAATTCTGTATGTGGCTAAACTATGTTTAGGAGAAACTGACCTAGAGGTTTTAGAAACAAATTTCAAAGGGCATTCCAAGGAAATGGGTTAAAATAATATAGGAAGGTTAAAAAAAAAATGGGTAGTTTGGCCATGGAGAGACTTGCTGGGTTAGAGTTAATTGTATATTTTTTGTGGCCAATATGACATTATTGTGGGGGAGAAGAGTTTTAACATATTAGAGTAGGATTAATAACATAACAATGGAAGGTTAGAACATTTATTTATGACAAAGACGAGATGTAGTAAGAGGAAGTAAAGATTTGGATTTCCTTTTTCTTAGTTATAGTTATCCAAAATGGATATGCCTATGCCACCCATCATCCAGCCTGGAGTAACTAACCTAACACGCAAGTGACGCTGGTGAGAAGTGAGACTAGCAGATTAGGGCTTCACAACTCAGTTTTGATTCTGTTCTCTGTTCATGTGCTGACACTCCCCAGAGAGGGTTTTTCCTCCTGGATAACCAAAGGGTAAATGGTATATCACGAATAGTGGGGGAGCATTACAAACACGCGAGCTGTGAGGTTGGCTACATTGCCGCCTTGCAGTAGACAGCATGCTGCTGGAGGCAGGAGCCATTCTGTTTTCTTCACTCTCCACCTAGCCCAAGAAGAGCCACGGCAGCCTCTCTACCATCTCCTATCAATGGAGTGGCGATAGCGGAGTGATCTTCCCCTTCTCTTAGTGGAGGAATAAATATTGTGAGAAGTGTTCAGCTAATTTCCATGGTTCTTATGAACCCTACAAAGTCTATAAGAAGAACATGTTATTATTAATATGTGGTTAGGATTTTAAAGATATGAAGTGTACCTTAGTATTCTGTAGTGACAGGTTTTCAGTACAGTGGCTTCTTGAGGGACACGTAAACAGTGGTGGCTTTGTGGGCTTGGGAGGCTAGCCTGGGGAGAGTCTCCCCTTGGCCACTGACCAGCCATGTGGCCTTGGGAGAGTGACTTCTTCTGTCTGAGCCAGAGATGGACCTGCCTACCTCACAGGGTGGTCGTGAGGGTTATATGTTACAAGCAATGTCAAGTGTGTGCCCAGAACAGGGTACAGTGTGAAGTGGAGGGGTGCCCACCCTTCTCCTTCCCTTCAGGTTGTATCAGGTCAGGAGTAGAACTGTTAATATGTTGGGTGTGAGGACAAGACTGTAGGCCTGAGGGTGGGTTTAGAGTCTAAGCTTAAAGATGAGATGGAATATGAAATGCCCATTTTCCAGAGCTGGATTGGCTTTAAGTTCTACTCGTTACTCTTCCAGAAACCTGCTAACTAATCCAAGTTAAAAACTTTATTCAATTGAGCATATGCAGAACAAATGATTTTCATTAAGCCTTTTTGCCAATCTGGATTTTTAAAAACTTATTTATTTATTTATTTATTAGAGACTGGGTCTCATTCTGTCACCTAGGCTGGAGTGCAGTGGCTCCATTATAGCTCACTGCAGCCTCAAACTCCTAGCCTCAAGCAATCTTGTGATTCTCCCACCCCAGCCTCCTGAGTACCTGGGACTACAGGTGTGGACCACTGTGCCTGCCTCAGATTATTATTATTTAAACTGGAAGTTTAGAAGAACTAAAACTCCAGCATGGGAACTTTTGACCAGATACCCCATAGTCATCTCTTTGGCTATGTATTCAGGATTTAGGACAGTCCCACTCCATATTCTGACTTCCTGAAAAATGAGACATGGGCCTGGGATGTGTAATGGCACGACAATGATAAGGCTTCCATTGAGCTCCAGCAAAGCCCGGTTATCTGTGTCCTCTGCCAATACCAAATGCAGGAGAGCATGATGTTTTGTTCAGGGTTGTAACTCTGTAAATATTTGTTGGCTTGCTTTGTTGGTGGTGCTGGTAGGAGAGTTGATAAAACCTTTCAGAGCCAAGTTATATACATTTGGAGCATTATTATCATTAAATAACAGTCATTGTGTTTGATTCACAATTGAACTGGGAATGACAAACGTGAGCCTTCCTTAAGGCAAGTCCCCTAGCACTAGCTGTGCCACAACTCTCCTTTCTAACCTACATACCTGTGGCTGCAAAATTCTGGGCTCTGTGGTTTGTACGTTGGTCTCAGTGTGTTCCAGGGGAGAAGTGGTAGGTGGAGGCTCTTGACTAAATTCTTGCCCATCTCTTCAGTACTCTCGAGAGTACTGGTTTCCTGTTTTGCTTGCATTTTGTCCGCTCCCGGAGTTTGGATTACAGATGGAGAGCTGCCCCAAGAGTGCTATATCCAGGGAGCCGCCCTCACCTCCAGCCTTTGTGACAACTCAACAGCCACTACCTGACAGCCACAGTTTCTCCAGTAGAAGCCTGGAGTAGGGTGTGGGCTCTGGAGCCAGACCACCGGGGTCGGTTACCTGCATCCACTACAGTTGACCCTTGAACAACACAGATTTGAACTGCGTGGGTCCAGTTATACATGGACTTTTTCCCCATAAACATTACACTGGGTGTGCCTGCCTCTTCTGCCTCCCCTTCCTCTTCTTCCACCTTTTCTGCCTCCGCCACCCCTGAGACAGCAAGACCAGCCCCTCCTGTTCTTCCTCTTCGTCGGCCTACTCAACGTGAAGATAGTGAGGAAGAAGACCGTCATGATGATTCACTACCACTTAATGAACAGTAAATGTATTTTCTCTTCCTTATGATTTTCTTAATAACATTTTCTTACTTCATTTTGAAAATACGTGTAACATACAAAATATGTGTTAAACAACGGTTTATGTTGTCTATAAGGCTTCTAGTCAACAGTAGGCTATTAGTAGTTAAGTTTTGGGGCAATCAAAAGTTATACTCAAGTTTTCGACTGTGCAAGGGGTCAGCGCCCCTAACCCCTGTGTGGTTCAAGGGTCATCTGTACTTCTTTTGTACCGTTGGGCAGGTTACTTAACCTTTGTGTGCCTGAGTGTCTGAAGTAAATGAATCAGTTTAGGCACAG